AATTCTTGTATTTTTTCATATATCAATATATATCGCAGGGGGAAGAAATCGCAATGTCAGTTTTTTCCAATATCGTGCAGCCCTACTTTTCACCCTCAGTTTGTTTCTTAATAATTTGATCCTTTTGTATACCCTATAACCCCAGTACTACCATGGTATAGCATTTCTTAAAAATGCAAATAAAAACAATAAAAAATAAATAACCATTTTATTAATGAATTGTATGTTTCAAAACACTAGTTCAACACTTGTATATTTGTATATGATATTTCTCAAGCTACAGCTGTTCTCCTTAGGGTTAAAACAGAAACAGATCTGATGGTTGTTATTTAAAAACTGAGATTTAAACCCTGAAGCTGTAGGAATATATAAACGCTGTAATACGACATGACGGCTATCTGCTCGAGCTGACAGTGAGCATGGAAACAGCCGGAGAAAACCATGGCTGCCGGTGTGAAGTTTAAAAAAGGTTAGATTTCTGACTGGAGGCCGTGACATTTTAATGACACGCTGGTGGTAAAGTGATAACAGAAAGATTAATCATTGGAAGTTATATTTATAATCTGCTGAAAACATTCCTGAGGCTCAGACGTCGCGCGGATGGGATTTAAGAAGAGAGTTTTTACCGTCTAAAAGGGACGTTATTCTCAGCTCTGAATCTGGGCTGCAGCGAGACGACGATCGACAGCTGGGATCTTTTTCTAGCAAAGATATATTTTTTATAAAGAGGCGAAGTTCCTCCCCTTCCGGTGGAGCTCCATGGGAACTTATTTTGGAAAAAGTATGTATTGAAGTCAATGGGGAGAGAAAGATTATCTTTCGATCCCGTTTGAATTGTGCCACGAATTACACATATGATGTTTGTCAATTTAAAAGATAATTTTGCAAGTCAAAAAAATTAAAATGTGTCGTAAAACTGTGAAGTAACACTTTATTTTGTGTGAACAGCTCAATGAACTACATCTCCCGTCTCGCACCACACAACAAGATGGCCGTCACGTTGGCTCATTTCACTTCTTTCTTTCAGAATGAGGCGAAAAGTATTAAAAGAGGTGAAAATCACTCCAAGTCTGGGCATGTTGAGAGCTGCACATACACACAAGGGGAGTTAGTCGGTTCGTAAGAGCCAGCATGCGGGACCGGGATTCTGGGATTTGTAGTCTTTCTAGTTGCGTATTTTTCATAGTCTTATATTTCAACAGTTTTACAACAAACTGACTTTTTTGACATGGAAACTATTTTTTGAGTCATTCGTGGCACAATTCAAACGGGATCGAAAGATAATCTTTCTCTCCCCATTGACTTCAATACATACTTTTTCCGAAATAAGGTCCCATGGGGCGGAAGTAGATGGGCGGGACTTCGCCTCTATTTCAATGTAAATACTGCTCTATTTTATTTTACTACATTTTTCTTTAATGTTATTATAGTGTTCTTCAAATAATTCGCCATCTTTGTTTTTTTATGTTCGTTTTACGTATGGTGCGACATCAAGTCAAATTCCTCGTACGTGACAACCTGCCTGGTAATAAACCTGTTTCTGATTCTAAATCCTCTTTTGTGCATATTCTATCCACGATCTCTCCCTCTCACCTTGATGGAGTCGATCAGGTCCTCCACCAGGAACAGGTGCCTTAATTCACAGATGCCTTTGTTGATTTTAGCCAGGACCAGGTCACTGTACTTGTGGACCATATCCTCAGAGAGCGCCACCTCCTGGTCCAGGTACTGCCTGCGGGGGAAAACAGAGGAGGAAGAACTGTCAACTTTCAGGCACTTTAAGCATTTTAAAATACATTAAAACGATATAGTTAGTATACTGAATATTTAACCTAGTCATCATATTAAGTCAGATTTGTTTTTCTTCCAAAAACTAGAAAATATCATCCATCATGATATCGTATATTACCTACACATTTACGGAAATCAGATTTTAAAGCAAGGGGGATTTTTAAGCAACAAGTTCTGATATTTTAAAACCTGTTTGTAAGAAAATCAAACATACAATAATAATTTAAGAAATCTGTAATTAAAATATGCAACATAAGAAGATTAGTCTTGTGTAGAAATCCGATTTTAAACTCTTTTCCTCGGTTTATGTTAATCTGAGCTAATTGGTCGTCATGAGCCATGAGGTCAGCCAGGGAAAGGAAACGCAGTAAGAAGGATTTGAAAGCGAGCCAGGATGGAGGATAAACAAACAAACCAACATCAAGAGGCTAAGAATAATAAAAAGCTTGTCTCTCCTCACAGACTCGCTCTGAAAATACAGGGATGTTTTTATGTGTTTCTAAAACATTCATCATAACGTCCGCCTGCAGCTCAGACTGATCATCAGGATTAATCAGGTCACTCATTGGCTGAGTTTAATTTCCACTGACACCATTTTATATTCTGGGCTGCTTTCTCGTGGTATAGTTTTTATTATTTATTTAATCTACAAGTTATGTTAAGTGTTTGAATATCATGTTCATTATTACATTACATGTTACTTGTTAGACGCTTTTATCCAAAGCAACTTACATACTCAACACTGTGGGCAACCCCCACAGGAGCAATTTGAGGGTGAAGTGTCTCAGGGACACAACGTGCTGACTGCAGTGGGGTTTGAACCTGTGCCCCCCTGATCCGAACTCCAACGCACTAACCCACAGCCTCCTTATCCATCTTTATTATTTCTCTTTTTAGTTAAAACATTTTATTTCTCTTAATATTGCAATTTTTATATCTTGTTTTTTCCTTTTTAAATCTATTTTTTTAATTAAATCAAACCATTTCCTATTCCGTGTTTCGAAAACTGTGCCTGAAATTCATCATAACGTCCGCCTGCAGCTCAGACTGATCATCAGGATTAATCAGGTCACTCATTGGCTGAGTTGAATTCCCACTGACACCATTTTATATTCTGGCCCAGTGTTTCCGCCAGACCAGGGCTGAGAGGGCGTCCACCCCGAGAGCGTCGTTTCAAGCTATAAAAACTCGATCTTCTCTCAAATTATTTATTTTCTTGGACAGTATACAAGTAAGTATACAAAGTATTTTATAACCTTGAAAACACACACACACACACACACACACACTATGTTAAATACAGCTGTACTCACTTGAATGGATGTCCGTCATCAGACTTCTGGATGGCCTGCAGGATGCCTTTGTATATCCTGAAGCAGATGGTGACGGAGAGCAGAGCGAGGCCGATGTAGGAGCAGACGCTCACGATGCTGCAGGACGTCAGCGAGAGGAGGAGCAGCAGCGCGGCGCCGAACACCACGCCTGTCGCCTTCACATCGCGCCAGTAGAGGAGATCCACCACTGCAGGAGCAAGAGGGCGGTTAGTGTCAAACGTCCAGAGAGAAAGCACTTTTAATGCACTCCTTTAAACACTATTGTAGGAGCCAAAATGCTTGTTTTGCCATTGCTTATTATTATGTTCATTTCTGTTTGCATCATGTTGAATTCTTATTGTTTGTCACGTGGGTGTGGTTTATTGGTATTTAGGTCACCTGTTGGATAATATTAGGGGCTCTTAAGGAAAACTGTCCCCAGATATTAAATACAATTATTCTGTTGGGTTAAATATTTAAAACAGAAATAATCCTAATGGAAAAAAAACATTTAAAAAACAATTTATTTGGAAAGAATAAATATAAAAACATCAAATTACTAAAGAGTTGTTGTGTCTATTTTGTCTATTATTTTGCCTTTTTAAATAAATAAATAAAAACATTAAAAAAACTTCCATAGAGAAGTAAAGAAAATGGTGATATTGAACTGCATTCTTTTAGTTATAAGGTATATTTGGTCTATAGCTCAAATACCTACTTTACTTTTTATTATAACCAAATCGTATTTAACAATTTGCACATGCCATACAATATTAATGCTTCATGTTTTAGACTAATATAATATTCCCACTTGTATCCCGTCCTTGCTCATAAAGACTATAAATAAAATACCCCATAGTAAATTCCTTATTAAATATGCATAGCTGGAGGAAGTTTTAACCTAATTCGACCGGGTCGATTACACATGATGCGATGAGAAATCAGCGGGGTTGTCGTGGGACATCACAGAAATGCCCTGTCCTGGAGTTAAAAATCAAAATCAATTTGTTTTGGTAAAGTTTAAGTGTCCTCGGGGTAAAATGAGTTTCTTGCCTCCACAGTCACATGGCGGGTGCATGTGACTGAGCATCTTTAAAGTTTGCATGCTGCAACTCTGCAGGAAGTCAGAGGTCCAAACACTGTCATCCCAACAGCGGCTTCTGACTCACAACCTTCCTCCTCGTCTCCATGCCTTCTGGACTTTTCACCACATTAAGACTTCCACGTGATCTAACACCAACTCGGCTGCTAGGATTTTGGAAGACATCGCTTCAACTTGCATGAGCGTTATTTTATTATGCCGCGGCCGCCCCAAATGAACTCAACATGTCTGCCTCGCTAGCTGTAGAAGTCATGAAATGTTTGACAGAGGGAAAAGAGAAATATATCTAAATTAAATTGTTCGTTTTGGTATTTGCTGATCTCACTGCGAGTAATTTAATCTTAAAGTGGACCTATCATGCTATTTTTGAATAATATAGTGTAGGACCATACCTATATAAGGCATATTTATACTTTTTATTTTTCAAAATACCAAACAGATCATGCATTTTAGCCATTCCTCATNCATACCTACTGTGAAACATGGGGGTGGAAACATCATGCTTTGGGGCTGATTTTCTGCAAAGGGACCAGGACGACTGATCCGTGTAAAGGAAAGAATGAATGGGGCCATGTATCGTGAGATTTTGAGTGACAACCTCCTTCCAAGGGCAAGGGCATTGAAGATGAAACGTGGCTGGGTCTTTCAGCATGACAATGATCCCAAACCCACCGCCCGGGCAACGAAAGGAGTGGCTTCGTAAGAAGCATTTCAAGGTCCTGGAGTGGCCTAGCCAGTCTCCAGATCTCAACCCCATAGAAAATCTTTGGAGGGAGTTGAAAGTCTGTGTTGCCCAGCGACAGCCCCAAAACATCACTGCTCTAGAGGAGATCTGCATGGAGGAATGGGCCAAAATACCAGCAACAGTGTGTGAAAAGTATTGAGATGAACTTTTGTTATTGACCAAATAATTTCCCACCATAATTAGCAAATAAATTCTTTAAAAATCAGACAATGTGATTTTCTGGATTTTTATTTTTCTCATTTTGTCTCTCATACTGTAGTTGAGGTATACCTAGGATGAAAATGACAGGCCTCTCTCATCTTTTTAAGTGGGAGAACTTGCACAATTGGTGGCTGACTAAATACTTTTTTGCCCCACTGTATATAAGGCATATTTATACTTTTTATTTTTCAAAATACCAAACAGATCATGCATTTTAGCCATTCCTCATTTCGCTCAATTTAACACTGTCTTTGCATGGGCTGATTCTGTGAGAACAGCACCATCTACAGGCCTGGCATATGTACTACAGCGTCTCCAGCGCTTTCGAACGGCAATGTCCGTGGCTGTCTCCTCCTGATTGGTGGAGTTGGCCCAATAGCCGTAGCGCCACTTCTGTGACGTCACAGAAGTGTTCAAGTCTGGATCAGATCCGTTGCAACCCCTTTTTTAGAGATTTGGGTATGGAGGAAAATAGAGAGGGTTGTGTTTTCTGACACTTGGTGAGTTCCCTGGAACACCGGGAACACATATTCATGTAGAAAAGACGTACACAAGTGCATTTTGCATGATAGGTCACCTTTAAATCAGCATGCTCACAGTCAGTCAAGTTGAGTGATAAACTTGATGGTGATGAACCAGAGATACATTTAATTTATGTACTTCTTGAGTATCAGCAATAAGAACTTAATAATTACTTCAGTTATTATTGGACAGGCTGCTCAAATGATTTAACACCAGGAAGATCATTCAAGTGTAATACATATCTGACATATGTCATGTGTTCAAATGCACTGGGAAAACTATCAGTGTTTTTGGACTGCCTTGTACTGGAGGTCCCTGCACTTTTTCTTTACTCGACTAGGAAGACAGCTTTTGCAAATGTCCGAGGCCGCCCCATAAGACGCGATAGATAATGATGATAACTGGCTCAGGAGCTTTTCAACACTTACTCACAATCATAAAAATGTCAGCTTCACATGACAAAGCTCATTTATCAAATAGCCCTCCTTCTGTTATAATATGCTGCTCCTCTACTCTTGTCCAAATGAAGAATTCAATACAGCTCATAAATTGTAAAAAAAAACCTGAGTCGACATTTTACTTCTGGAAAAATAGAATAATAAACAAACAAATTATTCTATAAATAATAATGGAGCATGTGTTTATTTCATTGGTAAAACATGATTGGACAGGGGGAAAGCCCCAGGGACCCCATAGCTAGGGGGATGGGATAAACATAGATCTGCTCAGACGCCTGGGCTTTTTGGCACGCCTGCTGCACTTGCAATAGCACCAGGAGAGTTGGAGCGCTTGCCAGGAGAGGTGCAGGGTTAGAAACATTTCATTCTTGAGGAAATTCCTCCTATTACTCCATTATTCATCAGATTCTCTGAGGATATGGATGCTCTAACTGCTCTAGCAGAGAACGTTCGGAAGAAAACAGTTCATCATGGTAGATATCCGAGACAAGAGTGTTTTGATGTATCACCAGTAGGATGTATGCAATGGACTTATACTCCTCAGTCCATCAATTTACTTGGACAGTAAGTACTTCGGAGATTGCTCAATGGATATTCAATACCATAACTACACAACATTAAATGTCATAGCAGCCATTCAGAATTGTGAAGGAGAAATGTTCTACAACCAGGCCACCACCTGTTTTGTCTATCAGGAATTTCATGAAATATTAACTACTGGGACAAACTGTGGGTTTTGTTTTCTCCCAAAATGTTGATGTTATATAAGAACACAAGGGAAAGTTGCCCAGCAGTGAATCGAGGAGGACCTGGAAGTTTCTATCAGCAGCTGCGCTGACCTACGACCAGTCATTTGTGTCTGCGTGTGGGGTGGCGATTCGGAAATTAGTTGTAGTTGTGGTAACTGTGTGTGTGTTGGTGGGAGGGGGGTTACAATGGGAGGCTGATGAAAGCGAGGGGGTTTACAGAGATGGGCTCTGAAGCTGCTGTCCAGCTCATGCTTCAATTGTGCAGTAAAGATTCCCCAGCTGTCCTACGGATTAGCCCGTGTGCTTATGTGATTAGGATACATGGCACCGTGGCTAGACCCGGCGCCTCTGACCCGGAGAATGTAGAATGAGTTGAGATGGGAGGAAAAAGGATGGACGGGTGATGTTGCGGAGTCCACAAACACTGACCACCCAACATAAGACCTGGGTTTGTTGAGTGCATGAGAGGTAAAACAAGTCTGTTGCTAACTGTAGTAAATGAAGGCAGGTTAATGTTTTTGACATAATATTAGAATGTATACTCAAAAACAGAATTTAACTGCTATCAATATTAATTCCTGAACCTGGATCTATACCTGTGCTGTCAATGCCTAAAGTTTAGCATCAAGTGTTGCCCAAAGATACCATTGCTGAAACATTAGATGAAAGTGTTGAACATCATCAGGTTGTGTCATGCTTATATCCTAAAGGAACCACATCAACATGACTTATTTGATACACAGGTTCTAAAAAAAAGCATTCTTTGAATCCCATTCGACTTATATTAAATCATCAACTTGGAGTAGCATTATATATGCTCATTGTAAAATACATGCCTAAACTGTAAAGGGCTCTTACATGTTAACATTTGCCAACTGAAAAGCATGGAAAAGCTTCCAAATATGGGAAACTTTGATGCTAACACAGGAAGAGGCAATACTTTTCCTCCTGCATCCTCTTACTAACATGTTGGTCTGGGAGAGCTCAGAATGACTGACATGTGGTATGACAAACAGTGTGACAACATGGTGTGTGTGAGCTGCCCTGCACAGCTGCACATTGCCCGCTTGACTGTACCAGACGCTATGGCACGGGTTCAACAGTAACGCTGACTTCATGGGTCACAACCAGCGCTGCTAACTGGAGGCAGTGAAACCATGGCGGTTGCCCATAAAGTAAGTAACAGCGTAATACAAATAGGCTAAAGTTGGAAGGTATACAAAAAGGCAACTCATTAATTCCTTCAACACTTCCACCGTTACAACACCAACAACAAATTTGGTGTGGGAATATGAGTTTAGGAGATAGTAATCCCGTCTACAAATGCAAGATAGTTTGCTTTAGCTGGATTCCCACCCTGCTGTTTTTGTTACAAGCATTTGCCAACTAAATGGAATCCCAAAGGATAGTTGGGTTTCGTTTAACATAGAG